TCCCTCACCAGATTACAACATGGCCAAATTTATCTGATCCAGGATCTTAACAGGATTCATGTCGTCCTTCATGTGGGAGCCCTGCCTGCCTGCTGAAGCTACATTTTCTGAGGGACCCACGCCCTTGGGCATTCACAACAATATTATGTTAACAAGGGATCCCTTCCCTTGCAGATGCCATTGAGGCTCTCATATTTTATGAGACAAAAAAAGGTTATTAGTTACTAAATGCAAGAAGAAACAGATTGGAAATAAGAAGAGTGCAAAAACATAAAAGTGATCTGTATATCTTTTTTCAGAAGTTAGAAGTCATATGACACCAGGTTATAGTCCAACAGGTTTATTTGGAATCATAGAGTGTTGTCTCTAGCACCACCTTATTTTTAAATTTTTTGTAATTATTTCTGTGCCTCATTTAATCGGATTACAGGTCATCCTTTCACTTGTTATTCAGCTGTTGACACCTGCAGGGACTATTATTTGGCACTCTACTCACACCATTTGTATGGTCTTTTGATCTCTCAGTCCTTGGTCTCTCTCTGCCTTAAATTCGGTGTTCTGTGTGCTTCTCTCTCACCTCACCTGACACTCTGAAAGCACATTGTGGCCATTTGATGGGTAGCAGTTAATTTCAAGATACTTGGCCTTGTGGGTCAGCTGAAAGGCTTTTGTCCCGTTTTCTTCTCAAAACAAAAAATGTCACATAATTGTAAATCCACCTTTCCTTTAGAGATGCCAATTATTAAACCGCAGAAAAACAAGAGTTCGTGATAAGCGTTCGGATATGCATTAAAAATTCTTGACAAAAGTGGACAAGTCACTCATGAGAGCTTATTTATTAGAGTAAATCAGGAAAACAAATATCATCTGGCTAATAATGACGACAGTTTGATTCAGTAGTTATGAAAATGCACGAAGAAATGTTAAAGGTAAAAATACAAAATTGGACAACAAAAACAAAGTTGCTGGAGAAGCTCAGCAGGTCTGGCAGCATCTGTGAAGGAAAAAAAAGAGAGTTAACGTTTCAGGTTTGGTGACCCTTCCTCTGGGAAAACGTCAGTTTAAAATGCAGAAAATAGGGAGGTGGGTGGGGTAGGGAGTAAATGATAGGATAGAGCCCAAAGAGAGAGAAAGACATTTGGACAGACAGAGGAGTTGCTAACGATCAGGCTGGGAGGGTGAGTAGTTGTTTTTGGGGACTGTTAGTGACTAACAACAGGGGGTGTGTAATGGCAGGCTACGTGGTAACAAGGCCTGGTGTGTTGGGTAGGGGGCTGGGACATGGGAGAGTTTAGGCCCTAAAATTATTGAACTCCATATTGAGTCTGGAGGGCTGTAGGGTCCCCAAGCGGAAAATGAGATGTTGTTCCTCCAGCTTGCACTGGGCTTCGGTGGAACAGTGCAGGCAAGCCAGAGACAGAGATGTTGGCCAGGGAGGAGGGTGGTGCGTTGAAGTGGCAGGCAACAGGTAGTTCAGGGTCTTTTTTGCGAGCAGAACATAGATCGCCAAGTCTACGCTTCATTTTCCCAATGTTAAGGAGACCACATTGTGAGCAGCGAAAGCAATAGACCAGATTCTGGGAAGTGCAGGTGAAGTGTTGCTTCACCTGGAAGGTATGTTTGGGCCCTTGGATACTGGGAAGGGAGGAGGTAAATGGGCAGGTGTTGCACCTTCGCCGGTTACAGGGGATGGTGCCACAGGCTGTGGGGGGGGGTGAAGGAAGTATGGACCAGGGTGTCCCGGAGGGAACGGTCCCTGCAGAAGCAGACAAGGGAGGGAAGGGGAATATGTGTCTGGTGGTTGCAAGTCGCTGGAGGTGGCGGAAATGGCACCTGATGATCTTCTGGATGTGGATGCTGGTGGAATGGTAGGTGAGGATAAAGGGAACCCTATCGCTGTTGCGGGAGGGAAGAGAAGTGGTGAGGGCGGAAGTGCGGGAGATGGGTCAGACCTGGTTGAGGGCCCTGTCGACAGCGGAACTGGGGAATCCTCGGTTGAGGAAGAAGGTGAACACTTCGGAGGCTCCCTTGTCGAAGTTGGCCTCATCTGAACATATGCGACGGAGACGGAGGAACTGAGAGAATGGGATGGAGTCTTTACAGGAAGTGGGGTGTGAGGATGTATAGTCCAGGTAGCTGTT